CCCCAAATTTCCTAAATCCGCCCCTGCGTTGACATTGCCTTCCTGCGTTTCATCTCCCTATAACCCGTCATACAGCTTTTATATCAATTTCTTCATGGGAAATAACTCCTATGACTTAAAAAATCGAGTTCAAATATCCAGAAAAAGTAAGTTTATGATTGGATGCCATATAGATCGTCTGTGTTTAAACTGCTGTAAACCAACAGCTTTGAGGGATTTGGGAAATAAAACCTTTTTACTATGTTTGACAAATTTTTATAGAAAGAAATAAAAAATGGTCGCCGCCCTCTTGGGTTGAAAAAGTCTTTATTTACCTTTTGTCTTTGAAAGAATAACCAGTTTATATCTGTTATTATAGCAGCGAACATAAAACCACAGATTAAAATTCCTTTTTTATGGTTTTAAAACGTTTCGCCTTACCTTACGACAACATCGTATTCATCAATACGGGAGCCCAGAGACTTATTATACAGGATTCCCCCGTTCCCCACTATGATGCATCTTTTACATTTGACTCTGGGAGGACACAGAAGAAGAAGAAGAGGTGAGTAACCTGGAGAAAAGGGTAAAACGCTGGGTGTAGATAGGATAAAGGCGAGTACCTGTCTAGCTCCTTTCCAAGGCCGTAATATTTCGTGGCAGTTAAAATGCTGTCAATTATTCTCTCTGCAAGAAAGAGGGGAAAAAAAAAATAGCGTTAAATGACACGGAGACGGGGAGCGAAAGCACAAACATTTTGGGAATTCAAACACCAAACGTATGAGCTAAAAATACACGGAGGTATTTAGTTATCCGGTTTGTATATAGATACATCAGAAGGTAAAATACTTTCAGAGATAAATGAAGCAGCTTGGAGTGAGAATCAAACTCCTCAGCTTGTGCATTACAGATCTGGACAGCGGCGATAAATCTTTCGCACGGTAAGGTACACGGAGCATCTCGGCTTAACGTCAAAGATAAGCAGCTGTTCTAACATCAGGATGATGAAACGTCCCTAAAGTGGGAAAAATAACGCCTTTAAAGAGATGAGAGGTGACAACATTCCCCTCCATTAGCAGAGCATGAATGGCCGGTAACGTATCGGTCGTCTAAAGAGGGGAGAAACCCTAAAAAACGACAGCAGGCGTGGATGATTTAGGCTGGAATGCATCTGTAAGAACTCCCTATAAAAAGCAGCAGGAGAGGAATGCTGCTTTTAAACAAGAACATTCTCCGGGTGGAGGCTGCGACGGCGAGCTGCTGTGATGCGTGGCTCCCAGGAAGGCGGATGTTTAGCCATTGCACGCATACCTGTCGTGTTCGACAAGGCTGGAGTCATGCTTCCAGTATTAGAGCGTTATTTCATTCTGCGCCTCTGGAATATTTTTAGGTCGGTCCAAAACTCCCATCAGTCCTCGGGAAGCATTCGGCGTGCAGATTCCTTTATGCAGGAACGCATACGGTGGCCGTGAAAAGATGCAGAGCTTTTTCATTCGTCACACTTGAACTTTTTTAGACTAAAACAATTCAAATGACTTTAAGGATGAGGAGTTCATGCAATGACCTCAGTGCGAACCAATCCTGCTTTGTCCGGGCTTTTTTTTTTCTTTACATGTAAAAAGAAAAGGCAAAAAAGATAAGAATATGGTGCTGAAATGAGTGTCAGGCTAGTCGACACGGATAAACCAGAGAACAACAGAGATGGCGTGACGCAGGCTGTTAGCTAGCAATGCGTACAGACTTTAAAGGGAGTAATATTTGAATATCAAATCATTCTGGCTTAAACGTGTATATAAATGTACTCTTTATCAGACCATATTGTCCCAAAAGTGGAAAAAATTTCTATAAAAAAAAAAAAATCCTGTCTTAAAATCTGCCCAAAACTGGCACCTTACTAACCTGACCCCGCCAGATGGATATGCTCCGCATATCCATCTGGC